TACATACTTATATTCTTGTAGTACATATGTTACACAATACTATCGGTTTTTAAATAATACAAAAATTATTAAAAATGCAAAAATGTAATTAATTTTGATTTTTAGCATTTAAAATAAAAAATTATTTTAATTAAGTTTACAACGCTATTCTAGACAACCAATCAGATTTCAAGATCGGGTATAACGTTATACGATCAAACAAGTATTCGTATTGCCAAAAAAATCGTTATTTGCTTAAGAAATCACCTTCCGTGCTTTAATCAAAAGTTTTCCTGTGCTTCAATCTTATGGGACTCATTTCCATGTTTGATCATATTTGTTGGATCGTTTCATAATACCGAAAAAAATAGAAAAAATGTCTTATACGTATAGTTATTCAAAGTTATACAAAGTTGTTTTATTCATAAGTCGCGTATTTATGTATTCGTATTTAAGTATCCGTCGTATTTCCGTACTCGTAATTAAATAATTTAAAGTGATAGTCATCGACTCTTTCTTCTCTGCTAATAATTTCCCTAAAATTCCTTATGGGCGATAAATTTAATTCAGAAAATTTACAGAATTCTTTTTCTGTCGGTAATCATGAGATTCCTATTATTTCCGTAGGTTCTTATGGAACCTTTCATGACTACGGTTCCTTTGCAAAATGTTTTTGTAATCAATGTAGTGGTCGTCGTGTTCCACTTTACACTTGTAAGAGCGAAAGTTGTAAAATTAAATGTCCACCTCATACTAGGAAATGTTCTGAATGTGGAGATCACAATTACTTGGCTAGGCGCAGAATTAATCGAAAATATTACGATAATCGGAAATCCCGTTTAAATTCTAAGAATCCTATTTCTTTCAAAGAGTCTTTAGTAAATAAATCATTTGATTCCATCAATAATATGGGTTTGCCAGAAATTTGGAACAATGCTTGGTCGGAATTTCCTGAACATCAGTAAGTTCATCTCTATCCAATTCGTATGTTGCTTAACGATAAGTAATCGGTTACACACTGAAATCCCCAAAAAATCACATCTCTATCCAATTCAACGACAAGTAATCGGTTACACAATGATATCCCCCAAATCACATGATCTAAGATACGAACTATCAAAGTAAATTTATATTTATATTCTTTCACCTTTTTTTATTCTATATATTACTGTATTACTAATATTGTGTTATAGTTGTTCTGCATCATCTATCGACTATTGAATTATTTTTAAATTTTAAAAATAATATAAGCTGCAGTAAACCATTTATTTTTCTATAATATATTTTTAGCGAATATAATTATTATAATGAACTACTTTTATTTTTATTTCATGATAATAAAATTAATATCAAAGACTATTTAAGAACTAAGAAAACTTTTTGCATACGAATAATGTGTATCAAAAATTATTTAAACAATAAAGGTAAACTGAAATTTTTTTTTCAAACTTAAAGACGATATAAAAATCATAAATCAGTTTAATGAGTTTGAAGTTTATTTTGCAGTTGATGAATATAACAACATTATGATTTAAACACAAAATATATTTCTTAAAGAATGACATGTGTCGACAAGGTCTATGATTGGCGCAGACATAGCCTAGTCATACGTAGCCATATATATTTTTTGTATATTTCATATGAAAGAGTTCAAATAATTTTGATACTATTTATTCTTATATTCCCTATTGGATTTGATATTATCAAAACTGATTAAATTTTTTAGTAGAACATTTTGAAAACAAGTCAATTTGAAAATTTTTGTAATAACTCCCATTCAGAAAAAAAATTTTTATTATAGTTCTATATTTATGTGTCGCTCGCTCTATTGTCTTTTCATTTGGTTTATAATTACTGACATATATAAAATCTTTTATATATGAGTATGCTTGAATAAATTATCTGATATTTTGTACTTTTTAAACAAAAAAATTAAATCAAAAAATTTACTTGATATTTACGATATAATCACAAACCATGACATTCATTATTTTTACTTTCGAATAATTTCAAGTTTTATTTAATGACATAGATGAACAATGGTTTTAAAAAAAGATTCTAATAATAATTTATACAAATACTAAATGTAAAAAAAAAAAAAAAAATCGATATAACTTATGTAACTGATAAAATTTTCGTCATATATAGACTAATTATATTAAATCACATATATTAAAAAAAATACATATCCCATTAAACTGTTAATTTAGCTACGTATCTACTACGATTTAAACTACAATTCAATATAATTTGATAGCTTAATCACAGATCAATCATGAAATTTCCAGGCAAATTTGTCTGGAAAACAGGTTAAGGGATAATATACATAAATGATTTTTGTGATTCGTCATAAACATACCAAAGTGCAATTGTAAGTATAATTTATGAATTTCATTACGATGATAAGATTTAACTCAGTCATTTAGCTTTTACAATCAAAAAAAAAATATTGGATGAGTTTTATTTTATATAATTAAAAAAATATATATTTATCACACACTATAGTACGTATTTTGACTGACATTTTAAAAGTATATAAATGGTTTTTTTTGCATGATATGAATATATAAGAGTGATTGATTACAAAGTATAGGAAAAAAATTGAAATGGAACTTTCAAAGGATAAAATTTCGGTATCAGTCACAATGAAACTTGATAAAGGTAATGAAATTGTTGATGGTACGCCAGTAGATGCTCAAGAAGTTTCCAACCCTGCGATACTTATATTAGGAAATATGGGTAAATACATTATCGTTATGTAAATTCTAAGTGATTATATATATATATGTTGGGCATGTTGAAAATAAATAAATAAATATATTTATAACATAGGTTCGGGTAAAAGTACTTTAGGAAATTGGTTTTTTGGATTTCAAGGAGACGATCCAAATGCAACATTTAAAACAGGATTTTCTATAGTAGTAATTAACCATCAAAAATATATCGATATTTTTATAACTGTTTAATTATAAACTTGACTCTTTATTACACTCTTTATTATCATGAATTAGGAACCCATTACTAAAGAATGTCAAGCGGGGTTAATTCAGATTAACAAAAAAATTTATAATCTCATCGACATATCAATAGTATTTAATAAGAAGAATATAAATGATATTAGGAACGATGTTGAACTAAAAAAGCTTGCTGAAATTATTCTCATTTGTTCATATGGAATTCAAGCAATTATTTTCGTTATTGGTATGAATGATTCTTTACAAAAAAATTTTACACAATAAATAATTCATAAATAAAATATGTAGGATTTTTTTTTTTTTAACCAAAAATTTATTTCATAATAAATTATAGATATAAAACAATATGAGAATTTTTTAAACACATTCAAAGTGATTAAAACATATCTTGGTGACAAAGCGGTCGAACACACAATTATAGCATTTACTAATCTTGGTAAACAACAAACAGAAAATCCACAATTCTCTAAAATTCTCAATCAAGAAATGAAAGATCTTTTGACATCCATTGATAATCGGTGGTTTATTTCACCTAACCCAGAATTATATCAAAAAGATAATGAAACTGTACATTACAATATGAAAAGGGCCAAGGAATTGATAAGTAGATTTAAAAGTGCATATACTATAGCTACGTTTAATGAAATTAGAGATGCAGAGGATAGAGAATTAGAAGTTCTTAACGTGCCAGGTGGTGGCTGTTTCAAGCTTGATACCAGAGTCATGCTTATAAATAAAAGAGTTGTTCCAATGTCATCTCTTCGCATTGGAGATCAAGTATGTTGTGGCACAATAAATGGGATGTTAAAGTTCTCGAAAGTTTGTTTAATCGCTCATCATAACTCTGATAACTCTGATAATTCTGATGACTCGGATAACTCTAATAACTCTGATAACTCTGATGATAGAGTTGAATTCTTAAAAATTGAATTTAGAACAGTTGATGGAACCGAAGGTAAGTATATCTTAATATAAATTCAGTTATTATATCATATAATTTAAATACTACATCATATTATTATCGCAGGATCACTTTATTTAACAGCAAAACACCATATACTTGTTAATAATAAATTTGATTATGCAGAAAGCTTAGAAAACTTGGAAATATTTCAAGGGAGATATCCCAAGCTTCAAGTTCTTATTGGCAATCGATTAATTCGAGCTTACGTTATTAATTGTTCTAGAGTAAGTATTTAAATATATAATGTCGTATGAATCTAAATTCATCTAATCATTATATTTAAATAGGAAAGACTAAGGGGATACATTACGATTCTTACAACGTCTGATACAATCATTGCAGATAATGTTCTTTGTTTTTGTTATTCTGTTGGACCGCTATTACAAACTGCCATTCAGTTTTTACTCTTTCTACTTTTGCTTTTTACAAAAGTAAAAAAAAGTACTAGTACTGAGAAAGAGATTCACTCATACCTTATGTTTTTTATTGTATGTATACTATATTTTCAGTGAAAATGGGTTAAATACCTATTTAATTGAATTCATTAATTAAATTCATTAATTGAATTCATTTGAAATCATTCGCTCTTGATAATCTAAACGAAGATTTTCTGTGAAATATTTTTAGTTTAAAAAAGACATCAAAATGAAGTGATAAATTTTATGAACAATTTAATTCTAAAAAACATTTTCTGACACAGCAAAACGGTTGCTACTGTAAAAAGAATGAGTGTCTTAACATATTTTAAACAAGGTTAACCAAATTTATAAAATTTATTTTACGGTGGTTAAATAAATTAGTAAAGGTGATTAAAAAATTTCTTTTTTTTTACATTCGATTATACAATGTATATAAATTGAAAAGAGTGTGTTTTTATTCTAGTCTATATGGACTATGCTTTAATGTATTATAAAAATCATTCAATTAACACTAAATTCAGAAAAAACCCACCAGCATATTAATCTACTTTTTTTTTTTTTTTAAAAAAAAAATCCAAATTAGAAAAGAAGCATTAATGCCAAATGTTAATTTTTCAGAGATTAAGAGGAAATAAGATGAATTAAAAGGAATTAAAAGGAATTAAGAAAAAAGAAAGAAAGAAAGAAAGAAAAAACTAAATTCCATGAATTTCATTAATTCTAATGCAATAAACATATAGAATGAAAAAAAAGAACAATAAAGTTGATGCAATACCGAAACCACCAAGTACCCATCTATAAGGAGAAGTATTAATAATATCAAAATAAAGTATATAAGCCAAACCAAGAGTAGAAGCGATCAAGAATAAGAAAAAAGCTATAATGATTTCAGTAAAAGATCTTTTATGTAATCCACAAATATATCCACGTTCTAAATCATGTTTATTTAAAATAGTTATCTTAGATTCACCAGTTGAAATTTGATATTTTGGAGGAGTTAAAGAATTGATCAATTTATTAAGTAGCAACATGTTTTTCACGATATGTTCATTCTCTTTATGATTATTCGTCATACGAAATAGATCAAGATTTGGAGCAATTATCCAACGACCAGAAATAATACCACGTCTACCAACAGTTCCTCTTAATTCAGTATTAAATGTTGTTTCCATGTATTGTCTTGAAATTGTTTGATTGTATGTACCTTTTGTGAATACTATTATTATGATGCCTAGATAAGCATTTACAATTTGACGAAAATTTTCTTTTTGAGTTTTAGACATTCTGGTTGATTCTTTAAAAAAGAAATCATAATAAACAATAAATTAATCATTTAGTATAATTTAGTATCATTTAGTAAATAATTTTAATTAAAAAGATATATAAGAAATTAAGGAAAATTATAAGAATTTAAATATTTAAACACGAACCTAAAACCAATATAATTGAAACAATTTCAAGGTACTGATCTATACTTTGAATTATTTCATCAATTTGTGATATAATATCAAGACTTGATTTATCAGAAGGTATTAAACCCGGAGTATCAATTAAAAGATAATCTATTCCATTTATTTTAATTGGATATGGTTGGACTTCACCTGATTTCTAAAGTTAATAAATAAAACAAAGGTTATAAAATGATATTTTATAAAAGATATTGAATAAAAATCAGATAAATCATACTAAGAATATCAAGATACCGTAAGTGGACCACCATCACGATGTCTGTCAAGCATCATATTAGCCACAGTACTTTTTCCCACACCTATTAGAAAAGATAAATTTCATATATTAGCAAGACTTTTTTTAAAAAGAAATTTTTTTTAAGCAAATATTAATAATGAAAATTAAACATTTTATAACTTATTTGGGAGACAGACCAACTTCTCCTATTATAAGAATTGCAGGAAATCTTTGCTGTTTCTCGGATGGTTCATTTTCATTAGATTCGTCAGAGGTAGTCGAAGACATTTTTTATGATATAGGAAAAAAAAAAGCAAATATAAAAAGTATTATACGAAATTATAATGATATAATCATATTATATATTATGATTAAGAGAATATTAAGATAATAATAGTAAGAGAATAAGAAGAAAGAAAAATTTTCCCACGTAAGAGAACAGTTTTTGTTTTTTCGAGAATCAAATCTTTTTTAAGAAACAGCAAATGATGTAATTATTATTTTTTTGTTTTTGTTGTAAAAATAAACAGATCCGGAGTATATCATGTGTCTAATGATTCCAAAATAATTTACATGATTTTTTTTAAGGACCTAACATTGACATTTACTGACATATAATTAATAAATGGTAATCCTTATTTGCTTTTATAAGCAACAGGTTAGAGACTCGATGTTAAGGTTTAATAGTTGGTTTCACTATCTTAAGTAGTGGATTTGAGTAATGTTGTACAATTTTGGGATAAAATTATTGGATAATACGTATCTAATAAAAAATAATTAAATTAAATTTAATACAGTATGTAATTTAATAAAGAATATTTTTGAAATTTTTTATGAACAATAAGTATATAAGAATATTCTAATGCTAAACATATATATATATATATATATTTTCGTAATGAGAGCGAGAATGATTAACCGTAATTTATTTGCATAAATAAACGCAATATTAAAGATCAACAACATACATATGAACTAAACTAAAAAATCGTAAAGTCGATATTTAATCCGGCGATAATAACGGTATCAGAGTATCAGATCGTAAAATTCAAGAAACTTTTAAAAGGTCAATGTGAGTTGGATTGAGATTGAGATTTATAAATTATCAATAATATTATTATCTAGTCACGCAGGTATATTTGTATTTTATCACGCACATTATGTGTTAGGCACATTATTTATTAGGCACATTATGTATAAGAAGCGGAAATATAATGCATTTAGTGGTGTTAATCTTCATGTAACCCCTGCTTATTTACGGATGTATCCTGATTCTCAACATTTATAACCGTAAGAAATAAAGTTCATCAGCTAAGAACAGGATATCGCATTATCTTGCTGCTCAAGTCCTTGCATATGCTGTTGATCGAATTGCTGTTTGATCGAATTACTGAATCGAATTTTTTTTATCATATAATTTTATAGTGCGACGATGTAATAAAAGAAAGCAAATAACTTGAGTATTAACAAGTGGAATTGCATGCCAATCTTTAAATTCTGATATTATGAATCAATGACCTGTTTGAATCATCATAGCCCAAACTTGAGTCGAACCGACTAAGCTTAGTTGAGTCAACTTGAATCAAAAGTTATTTTAATTGCAGTGTAACCATATAGATTTATTAGAGTCTTTTTTAAGTACGTGCGTACGTATTCGTATGCGGTATGTTTAAGTGCCAGATAATGATAAATCACGATTTAGTTAATATTATAATTTTCGTAAAATTAGATGAGATAGTAATACATGTATATGAATTAAAATCAATCATTTCTATATTAATATAAAAAAATTATTCTAGTCTAAAGTCAAACAATTAACAAAACTACGTATTAAAATGTCAAATATCTCATACTGTTATACGTTATGCCATACTACGTAGCACTCGGCCCAAATTTATTTATTTATTAATGACTAAAATTAATTATGTTATATGTCTTAACTATATATATATATATGTATTAAATATTCTTATTAGAAAATCCTTTAATTCACCAATTATGAGCAATTTTAATTTTCGAGATATGGATTATTTGAGTGGGAGTATGATAAGGAAAAAAGTTCCGCCTAATCTCATTATCATAAGTCATCATTTGCCTAGCTATATAAACCATTAGCATTAATTTTAGTAATTTATAACTACTATATAAAGTAATAGGGTTATATAAAGTAATAGGGTTATAAAAATAAAAGGAGTTGGTTATAATCAATAATGAGAAAGAAATATTATGCTGCACTTTAACCACAATTATCATAAATGTAAATTGTTCATTGTACTATAATTAGTTTTATATAGGTCAAGAAAATAGCATAAAATAAAAATGTATCAAAAATAACTCAACTATACCGAAATATCAAATTGTTACGGTTACACGACAGTTATGGTGTAATGTTCCACAAAATGGATAAAAACGGAACAGATAATAATCAACGTTAGCGGTAGGACATTAAATTAGATACCAGATTCAAATTTCACGTTCAGACTTTGCATTAGCATAAATCGAGAATGCAAAATGCATATATTTCAAGTTTCTTATTGTAACTATTCCATATTTGACATAACGATAATCTTCAAATAGTACTAACACAAATCTATATTATCGTTATTCATTATCTGATGATATTTATGTGTTATTATTTATGCATCAAAATGATGATTTAAGGCTTGTTTATTGTTTATTATGAAGAAAAGAAGGCATTTTATTCCATGTTGTATATAGTTACTTGTTTTTTCATTTTTTAATTTGCAATGATTATTTATGCAATGATTTTTTGTTTGTTAAACATATCGATAATGCATGCAATTTGAATATTAATAAATTTAGGTTGAATGCAAACTCTAATATATCCAGAATTTGGTTTTAAAAAAATGCATTGCTTTGTGGTCCCGGGTAAGACTTATAAAGTAATGCATCTTTTTTTTTTTTTTTTTTACAAATTTATTCTTATTCGTCGAGGATGTACCTAGTAAAAAGACGATGATATCATCTTCGCGCGAATTGCATCATATGACCTCATATCTCGCGTGAAGTAAATTTTCAATTAAGAAAATCCTAGCGACTAAATAAATGCTTGAATGTGTAGATACTTATATATATATAAATATATATATATATGTTTTTTTTTATTTATGTAAATGAAAATATCTATAATGCAAACAATAGAATGGGTTTAAAAAATTTTTTTTCTTTCACACTCTATCAGTATACCCACCAAAAAATGGTGAATTATTGAGGTATGAAATAAATGTTATATAAAGTAATCTATAAAGAAAACCAACTCATGTTAACAGGGGGAATTTATTTCATTCTTTTCACTAGAATCCATTTCATTCGTTTTACTAGGATCCATTCTATTCGTTTTAATAGAGCGATCAATTGAACGTGCACATCGATCGATGAAGAAAGGTGAGTAACATATTGAACATAAAAGGGCCCATAAATCTGTCCAAAATAAAAGCAGTGAGATTGAACTCACTTGATCTATAAATGTGTAAAAATAGAAAAAGTGTTCTACTAATAAATAAGCTGTTGTTACGATAATTACTAAAAATGCTCCACAACGATGTTGTTTTAAAATACAACTAACACAAATTATGATAATGATTAAACATATTAAAACGATATTAGAAACGAAAATTACTATATCACATGCGAATTGAAATGATTGAAGTGGTGATTTGAACACTTCATCTTTTAAACTTGCAATGGTACTAACGATACATCCTATTTCTATGATTATGAAATATGCTAATATGATTATTATCGTAATTACAAAGAATGCTGCTTTTTTGTTTTCCCTCCCACGAATAACTATCAACAAAATGAATGTCAATAACAACACTAAGCACATGGCACTCATCAATAAAATTGTTCTTAGTGTGTTCCCTTCTATTAAATAAAAAAATAAATAGGGAAATACCACCATAAAATACATAAAAAATATTACTCCAAAGATCTCTGCAACATCTTTAGATCTACAAGTTGGATCTGTATTTCTAAACTTGAAAATTAAGAATATTGACAAGATAATAACAAGAAGCGTTGTGACAATGATGTACGGAACATATTCCACTACTTCAAAATTGAATAATTCCGAAGCTGTTAGGTTTGCTGTGACATCCGAAATGATGCTGGCCAAAAGAATAAATATTATCGCTAATATTTTGTCTGTCATTTTTTCAATTCGAGTCTTTCTTTATTTAATTAAAGTTATTTTCTGAAATCTTATATTTATGAGAAATATTTCTTAGATTGTATGAGAAAATAAGAAAAAAAAAACGTTTAAAACCATACGATAAAAAAAAACAAATCTTATATGCTTGTAAAACAAACCTTTGTTTGTTGTAATAGTATGAAATTACATAATTTGCGTTACGTTTCTATTTCTATTCGAATTTCTATATATGTTTAAGTAATACTTGCACACCATTGACGTTTTTCTCAAAGTCCGATTATCCCGTTCTTTGTTTCATCTTCTTTATCCTTTTCCAACTTTCTGTGCTGAACGTCGAATTTCCATGGGACTTTCAAGTATTTTGTTTCGGTTTATCATCATAAATCATGTTTCAGTTCATCATCATAGTTTAACCCCCTACCGTAACACTTTATTACAATTTAAAATTATTATTATTATCCTTTATTATCTTATAGCTATGATTCTCTGTGTTTGTTATTAGTAAGTTACGAATATTCTACTCTGAAGATTTTTGGTGTCACTGAAATTAGCCCCTGAAATTAAATTACCTAACGAAGCTTAGTCATGTCACAAAAAATATTGTTTGTTCCATGATCTCTAAGTCTGAATAATATAAAGGAAAAAAAATCTTACTCCTATTAAGTTCGGATGGCTTGGAGATCGTAAGGTTAACCTTTTTGGTGGCTTGACTAAGCTTCATGTCGGATAATTATCGTTATAAATTTATATACCGTGAAAGAGTGTCCAGTAGTGTAATTTCTATTTATAACTTGAATGTTATTTCACAATTATGGTTTACAGTTACGTACAAATTCAAAAATTCCTGTACCAAGTAATTCATACATGGTTAATTGTTTATTTTGTAACCATCAATCTGTATACCCGATACGTAATGGTTATACGTATTGTTTAAATCTTACTAATAAAATTCCGGTACGTATTCATACTGTATAGTATTAATTTTATTTAATTATAATGGTTTTTTTTTTTTTTGCTAGAAAAATTATAAGATTTATTAATTTACACCAGTGTATGAAACACGGATATAATTTGTAGATCAAAATTTAAAAATAGATTAACGTCAGAATAGATCGGAGTTAGAGTTTGAGTGTAAATTATAAGGTAGATATGCCTAATTTGGCGCAGTGCCTAATTCGGCGCACTAATGATATCTCATGAACTGTTGATCGGAATTACATGATTTTGGTGCCATTCGATTCGTTTAATTGAGACGAATCGAATGGTACTAAAATCATGTAATTCCGATTAACAGTTCACGAGATATCACCATTTAACTAAAATCAATTACGCAACAATTTTTAAAACACGCTATGCGCAGTTTATTTTAGTTAAATGACGATATCTTGCGAACCATCAATCAGAATCGTGTGATTTTGCTACCACTAGATTTGTCTCATTGAGACGAATCGAATGATACCAAAATCTTGTGATTCTGATTAATAGTTTGTGAGATATTGTTAGTGTAATGTTTAACTAAATTTTCAATAAACAATATCTTGTGGTCTAGTGATCGAAAATGAACAATTTTGGTATCATTTAATTTGTCTTGATAAGACGAATCGAATGATATCAAAATTGTCCAATTCTAATCAATCTACATGATATAAATCATAATACTTACTTGCACTGAATTAGACATATCTACCTTACATATTAAGATTTCACAAAAATTTTTTTGTTAAAACCTAAAAAGTGGTTTCTTAAACAAAATTTTAAGTTATAATGTATTCATATTTTATACATTAGTATATGAATAGAAATTGTTTAATCTTAATTATTAAAATTTTATATAAATTTTTAAAAATTTATAACTTTGTAATATATAATAGTATAGTATTACTAGGGTTAAAAAAACTCTTTAGGTATAACCAAAATTATCCTGTTTATAAGTATAACAAGTTCCAGTCCCTATTATAGAAAAGAACACCTTGTTAGAAATTAAATCCAATATTGAGTTATTGTATAATACTAAGATTTGAGATATGGATTAATTATAAAACTAATAGTGGTAGCAGATCTGATTTAAGATACAGATTTATTGTAGATCTTAAATCATTATCAAAACACCTTAGAAGAATTAATAACAGGCATACTAAAGATGAAAGATCATAAGATTAAACATACTCAAGTAAGATAATTTATAGTAACAAAAAGATAAAAAATATGAAGAACAAAATATTATTAGATATAGTTAGGTTAGAAAGCAAAAAAAATAAAATCAGAAAAAAATATGAGTGGAATATATAGATATAGTTACAAAAAACAATATTTCTGATACTAAAATACTATATTAAGTTCAGAGTTATTTTTATCTGTATAGTAGTTTAATAATATGTTTTAACTACAAGTAGTTGCTAAGATAACTGCATATAGACATATAGTAGACACAAATTTAGATATTAAATAGATAACTAGATGAAGTTAGTAATATAAAATTAGAATAGTAAATATAGTATTAATAATAATTAATATTGTAAATATAACTGTAAAATTATATTATATAAAATTTAGAATCTAATAAATCAACTAGTAATATCATTAAAGTTCAAAAAAAAAATTTATAATTTTTAATTTATTAATTCAATTTAAATAATTTAACTATAAAAATAATTTTTTTAATAAAAAGATTTGAATATATTTAAAATTATTTAAATATAATTATATAATTGTTTCTTTTTAATATTAATAATAAGGTTATATCTTTATCTTTATTAAATATTTATTTAAAATTTTTATATAAAGTATAAATTTACTTTTAAAAATATTATTAAAAAAGTAAAAGCTCAGACTAGTTTATATATAACCTAAACCAAATAATTATATAATTATAAAATTAATAAAAATTTATATTAAATATAAAATTTAATAAATTTTTTTTCTCTTAAGCAGTTATGCTAGTACTTTATTTTTTTTTTATTCTTTGACAGTCTTGTCAGAGCTCAGATACAAAATTTTACTATTTGAAATATTAACTATTTTTAGTAATTCACATTTTGAAATTGCAAGCTTGGCATTATCCAAATACAGAAACTGCACTCAAATGTGACTTGTCACATCAATTTATGTCTAAACTGGGAGATCTTGTCAGCTCTGTCAAGAACTGAACCAGAATGGATTTGTTTCATTCTGCATTAGTTCATCCACTTCTTTATTAAATAGCTGAAAACATTCCACTTCTCTCTCTTTATTTTTAACAACTTTCATCTTACTTGTTATACTTCTCTTGTTGTCTCTTCTACTTTTAACTCTCTTTGAACTATAGCTTTTATCTTTATCTCCCTTCATCCTGTATTACTTCATCTTAGAGGTTATTCTATTCTCATCTTCCTATTTGGCTACTGTTTTGCATCTTCTCCACCATATTTCTTCTCTAAACATTTTTTTAACAATCTTGATATATACTTTCACAGAATGTTTTGTACCTCTTTGTAACACTTGTTTCATATATAATTTCTTAAACATACTTTCTATTGCTAAGCTATATATACATGACTCATGATGCTTAATTTTATCTGCTAAAGTTCTTCTAATAAGTATTTTGTTTAGCTCATATTTCATAATCTTGCTTTTATCTACTTTATCAAGCTTTTTCCATACCAACCAATATGCCAACTCTTCAATATTGTTCTAATACCCACTGTACTCTTCATATCTAAGCAAATATATTGATATTTCTTGTTCCTTATAGCATTCTTTACATTTATCTGTCTCATATATGTTTGGTATTCTCTTCTTTAGTACCTCAAGAACTGGCAAACTATTACTTATATACTTAACTCTAAATGCTATCTTCTTACTTGCCTCTAGTGATTTACATTTAGCTTCTGTTAAACTTCTGTTTTCCTTCCACAATGCTTTTCAATCTCTTTAAACTTTAGCATTCAATTCAAGTTCTCTAACTGCTTTCAAGTACTGCCATTCAGCACCATTCATCATATTTATTAATGTTTTTATAAATTTCTGGTAGATATTTTTACTACTAAATCTTTCCAATATAGTATACATAAAAATTAGCAGTTTCTTTCAAGTTTCAGATCTAAGCATTTACCTAACAATGTGCCTTCTTTTGCGAGTTTGTTGGCTCTTTCATTCCATATTACTCCACTATGTGCTTTAACCTTGACCAGCATTAATTCGATATTTTTTGACCTGCACATATCTTTGATCTTTATTACTAATCTGAAGTTTTTGGTTTTGCTTTATGCCCTAATGTTAAACATAGGCTTCTCTTCTTTCAGACTTAAAATTGTCACTGAACTATTTAATTTAATCATTACTCTACTGTTATTAGCTACAACTAAAACTATCATCAATACTGCCACTAACTCTGCCTTTGTTGATGATGACCATTTCTTTAATCTAATTTTACTCTTCATTATAACCTTCTTTTCATCATCACTAACTTGCAACCAACCTGCACCTATTTTACACTCTTTTTCTTCTTTTACTAGTGACCCATCTGTATAAAACTTGTATTTTATACACTTATCCATAATATTCTTTTCCAACTGCTCTAGTAGCATACTCTCTAAATTGCTGTTTAGACCTTGCATTTTCAATAAACTAATTTTATGACTATATATTGTTATTTTTCTAATTATAGCTCTTTCATTACTTATATCATTTTTTTTAATCTAATATCTGTTGTACCCTTTTAGTTCTTCAAACAAGACTGGTACCTTTTGCTCATATATTTGTCTTACTCCTGGTAATACTTCTACTATTGCACTCTTTTTAACCCAATGTTAATATTTGCTTATACTACTACTGTTATTCAGATTATATTTGTTGCATTCTATAAGTACTGAGTAACTTTCTCCTTCAACTTGTAATGTGCTCCAATAATTTATCAATATGTTTTTCTTTTTTTTTTGACTACTTTTCCTACTATTGGTTCAGTGTTCTCTTTGTTTACTAATACTCATTCTTATTTTCTTTTATTTTGTAATAACTTCTTG